TCCTTCCCGGGTCCCGCCACTCCAGCCTGCCTCTGCATGTATAAGCCAGTGCCTGCTGCTGTAACAAGCAGTCCCGATGACAGCACTCATAATACATCCATGGCAGGTGGCTATTCTCCCCCACGGAGTAGTTTGGGGATTTGGGGTCAGCGTGGCTCGGCCGTTGCCCAGGGCCTTGGAGCTTTGCACCCAGCAGGAAGATAGAAGAGAAGGCAGGGACCTTTCCTTTCCCTAAGAGCCCTCCCCAGGGAGTGCCACATGCCACTCACACGAGCAAGAGCCAATCACGCGACTCCTCCTGGACCCAGGGCATCCTGTGAGATGTGACTGTGGCTCAGGCAAGCCACTTTCTAGCACTCAGCCAACCCGATTCCCGTCTGAGCCACAGCACTCATAAGAGGCACCGCTGGGACTCGAACTCAGGATCGTGTGAATTCACAGCTCTTTCCGTGTAACTCCTGCGGACGGTCATCTCAGGCTTTTGGCCCTCTTCCGCTTTGAAATCCTGTGGAACAAATCCATCGCTTTGATTTACCCACGGGTGTATCAAGCCGTGGGGCCGGTGGAGGCGGCACGGGTCTCTCTGCCGGGCGGGATCTTCATGTCATCAGCTCTTCATCCACTTGTAGAAGCCATCATCCCCAGAAAGCTGACCCGCACGCCGAGCCTGCTGCCAGAAACCAAGGCCTTGGACCATCTGTAGGAGATAAATAAATCAAAATATCATCAGCAGATAAGTGCGGGCCATCTGCCGCTCTGTCAGTTGAACTGGCAGAGGCCTCTGGAGAATTCCGGAGACCAGCTTGCCAAGACTCCGCCAGCCCGGGCTGCGAGCAGATCTTCACGGAAGATGGGCTGCCATTGCCTGGTCTCTGCTCTGCCCTCCTCCAGCCCAGCCAGAGAAGGCGTGCGAACCTTCTCCCCTGCCAAGCAGTTGGGAGTCGTTGCTCATCAGCCGTTTGTGGGCCTAGGTCATCTCTGCCCTCCCGGCTAGTTCCCAGTGCCCCCTGCTCCCAACCCAGGAAAACTGATCATGTGCCAGGCTCCTTCCGTGATCTGGTTCTCAGAACTAGTCGGCCTCAGATCCACCCAGCGTGGAGTCCCTTGGCTGTCTTCTCTGCATGCAGCCACTTCTAGAAGGCTCCTGGGGGGACTTCTTTGTGACTTTTTATCTTGGCAGTATTGGGGTTTGAACTCAGGGCCTCGTGCTTGCTAGGCAGGTGCTCTGCTCCTTGGGCCACACCACCGGACCATTTGGTTTCTGTTATTTTTTCATCTATTTGCCTGGCATTGGCCTCAAACGGGGAACCTCCAATTTTATGCCTCCCATGTAGCTGGATGACAGGTATGCACCATCCCACTGGACCTAGTCTATTTGAGATGAGGTTCTTGTTATCTTCCCCCTCTCCCACCCCAGACTGTCTTCAAATAAGACATCTTCTGGACTGCTACTTCCTCATGAGCTGGGATTACAGATGTGAACTACTATGTCTGGCAGAGGGTGCTTTTGTTGTTGTTTTCAGCATGCTAACTCTGCTAAGTGCCCAACAGAGGAGTGACCCGAATAAAGATCTGTGCCCACCATTTTGGTCTGAACCCTGCCTCTGCCACTTAGCTGTGGGAGTGACTGGATGGTCCCGGGCCTCCATTTCTCCATCTGTAGGATGGGAGCGCAGCAGTGAAGGTTGGCAAATTCAGCCCTGGGTAAGTTGTGAAGTGCTTAGAGAGGCTGAGCCGGGGGGCAGGCGCTGAGCCAACGTCAGCCAAGGTCGTCAGACTCTGCCTGGCTTTTGAAAGCCCCCTCTGTCCTCTGTCTCCTGCCTCCCTCCCTCCCCAGCCTCCTTCCCCAGCCTCGGCATCACCATCTGCCACGGCGTGGAACTAAGTCACGCTCCTCAGACCCCGGATATGGGGCTCAGCCAATGATGCTGTGGCACCCCGTGTCCCTTCCTCTCACCGTCCGGGCTCCTCTGCCAACAAAGCCCCGAGCACCTCGGTGTCTGCGCCAGGAGCAGCGTGGCCAACACACAGCGTTCCCCACATCTCGGGCCAGCTCCTGGCCTCTGCCACGGGTCACCTTCCTCCGTGGTGCCTGCGGCTGTGCCAGGTCCCCTCTACCCACTCACGCCGAGGCGACAGAATCACGTCTCGGTCTTGGAAGAAGGGTTGTGTGCGTCTCTCACCTGGGGTGTGGGCGAGGATCCCAGGTTGGAGAAAGGAGGGGGGGCGTTCTCAGAACTCTTTCCCATTTCAATCACCCGCGGGGCCGTGGTCCGCCGTGGTGGTCAAACACACAACACCGAAGGTTCCAGAAATAAACCACTTGAAACCGAAGTTTTAAATTGTGAGCCGTGCTGAGTGGCCTCACGAAATACGGTCGCCTGTGTTTCTCACCCAAGATGAGATTGGTCCCTCATTCCTGCCGTCCCGGCTCAGTGCCTGGGGGCGGGGGGGGGGGGGCAGGGGAGGAGCTATCTCTCAGATACAAGACAGAAAGGCTGTATTCATACACTTGTATTACTGTGCTTGGCTTTCATTGCTGTATGTTTGCATTTTTGTGCCAGTACTGAGGCTTGAACTCACGGCCTTGAGCTTAAATTTTTCACTCAAAGCTGGCGCTCTGCCCCATTGAGCCACAGCTCCACTTCTGGCTTTCGTGGTGGTGGTTCACTGGAAATAGGCATCTCATGGACTTTCTCTCCTGGGCTGCCTTCGATCTGTGATCCTCAACTCTCAGCCTCCTGAGTTGCTGGGATTACAGGTGTGAGCCACTGGTCCTAGGACAGTTTTTAGAGGGGGCTGGTGTGTGTGTGTGTGTGTGTGGGGGGACCATGCTGGTGGTCTGTGCTGTGACTCTGTAGCTAAGGCTCTAGCCCCCACATAGTTACCTGTAACCACAGCCCATGGCGAAGATGTTCCAGCACCTATTAGAGGATTTCCCCAATAATCAGGTGAACAGATGCCCAGGCAAGACTGGCAGCCTCCTGCCCCTGCCCTGGCCCTACAGGCCGGTGTGATATGGCCCTGGTGGCTGCCCATCCTTGTCCCGTCTACACGTCTATAAAGAGCCACCCGTGAGCCCCTGGGATGCCGCCATCTGCTTCTTGTCAGGCCCTGGCCGGCCCAGATGGCATCCACTTCGGCTCAGATCCATCCACACAGACGCCAGCCCCGGGGCCGCGCGCGCCCTGCAGGCCAGGAAGCCGCTCTCCTTGTAGTCCGTGACCTTGTGGCCTTGAGTGGAGGCCGGGCCCACGGTGGGGGTGGGGGGTGCTGAGGAGCTTCTGGAGGGGGGGGCACACACTCTCCCCTCTCCCAGCATGCATTTCTCCAATCTCCACTGCTCTAGATCCCCAGGGCACTGGCCGGACGGTGCGAACACCAGCCTCCACCCAACCAGGACTGCTTCCAGCCTGAGGGTCTTGTGAAGTTTCCAGAATGTCTGGGAGAACCTAGCATCTCCCCTTCGTTCTTCTCTCTATGGGGAATGTGGGAAGCCTACCTGGGAATAAGATTCTTCTTTCCTTTGCTCCTTCTTTCCTTCCCTCCCTCCCTCCCCCCCTCTCTCCCTCCTTCCCATTTTTCCTTTTCTTTCTTTCTTTCTTTCTTCCTTTCTTTCTTTCTTTCTTTCTTTCTTTCTTTCTTTCTTTCTTTCTTTCTTTCTTTCTTTCTTTCTTTCTTTCTTTCTTTCTTTCTTCCTTCCTTCCTTCCTTCCTCTCTCTCTCTCTCTTCTTCCTTCCTCTCTTTCTTCTGCACTGGTACCATTCTACCGCTTGAGCCACAGCTCTACTTCTGGCATTTGGGTGGTTAATTGGAGACAAGTGTCTCTTGGACTTTGCTACACAGGCTGGCTTTGAACCCTCAGATCTCAGCCTCCCGAGTAGCTAGGATTACAGGCGTGAGCCACCGGTTCCCAGATAGTAAGAGTGATTTTTTTTCTTCAGTACTAAGATTTGAACTCAGGGCTCGATGGCTGCTAAGCCAGGTACTTGAACCATGCTTCTGGCTGGTCCGGAGGGCGATTCCACTGTACACCCGAGATGGACTCGGTTTGACCTTTTGGGACTCGCAAACGAACAGGAGGTAGCCCAGAGCCCTCCCAGGGAGGGTGGTCCCTAGAGAGGCCCTGAACCCCGAAGGGAGGTTTAGAGGCCTCCAGGGGAAGGCCCTGCAGGGTAAAGGGGGGGCAGCGCGACCCCCATGGATGACCAAACATCTCTTTCCCCATGGGAAGGTGAGACTTGGGGCTCAGCAAGACTTTTCTTCCCAGCCAGGCACCAATTACTCACTCCTGTCAGCCTCGCTACTCAGGAGGAGATCTGAAGATCAAGGTTGAAAGCCAGCTGTGGGAGGAAGTCTGAGACTCTTCTCTCAATTAACCCCAGTTAAAAAAAAAAAAAAAACAATTTAAAAAGCCAGAAGTGGAGGCGTGGCTCCCATTGATCGAGTGCCAGAGTCTTGAGCAAAGACGTGTTCACGACCAGTGTCCCGGCCCTGAGTTCAGGCCCCAGGACCGACTGGCACCAAAAGAACAGAAAGAAAAGAAAAGAAAAGAAAAGAAAAGAATCTTGTTCCCAGCTGGGAACCAAGACCCAAACACTTTATACTGGTATTTAGATCCAATACATTCGCTAAGTGTCTGTGTGCAGGGCCTGAATTTCCTGGGTGGAGGATCCCTAACCGGGGTGAGCTCCAGGACCCCCTCCCCTCCATTCACCCAGGTGCCCCGGCTTTCATTGTATATCCCGAATCAACCTCTGTAATTAAATCTATCAACTCACTGAGAGTGGGTGTGGGGGGGGGGTGCAGGGAGGCTTCTTGTAAAGGAGCAAGTGGGCAGCATCCCTGGCGCCCCCCACCCCGGGGCTGGCCTTGGGGTCCTGCTGCAGGGGTCCTGGCGGGGGCGGGGGGTGGTGTCTGCAGGGAACGGGCCAAAGGCGCATGCGTGCTTGCAGTCTGTCGGTCGCTCCTTCTGAAACTCCCTCTTTTTCTGTTCCAAGGCGAGACCTGCCGCAGCTTCATCGACCTGGCCCCGGCGTCCGAGAAAGGTGAGTGCGACCTTCACCCATCTGGCGTGGTGTCGGGGCTGTGGGCCAGCAGCCAGGTGTCGGGTTGGTGTCTCTCCAGGGTACAGCGAAGCGGGGAGTGGAGAGGGAGGAAAGGGGTGGCGTCTCCCTCCCCCTGATGTGGGGATAGCCCCGGAACCTCACCTTCTCCTCATGTCCAGGCTACCCCATGCCTGGGCCCTGGGAGGGTTCTGTGCCCCTGGCTGGGGCTGTGACCCCTCCCCGGGGGTGGGGGACGGGGACCATGGCCAGCTGTCCAGTCTGAGTGGCTGCCGTCGTCCATGGGGGGGGGGGTCTCCCTGCTGGGCTCAGTTCATCCCTGGGCCTGGGCCGGTCCTAGGGGATCTGACCTAGGGGATCTGACCTGGTCCTGGGGGATCTGACCACTTGAGTGGTGGCAATGGCAATTTAGGATCACACTGGGCTGCAAAGAATAAATAGCAACCGCGGTTAATGTGTCTGTTGTCTTCATTGAAGGTAATTTAGGGTGGCTCCCTAGCACAGATTCCTGCTGCTCCATGGTGTATGGATCTTCATCTTCATGGTCTAAGGCAGTCGCTGGAGTGCCAGCCATTACGTCTGTGTCCCAGGCAGCTGGGTAGAGGATGAGCTTAGCAGGAAGGGCAACAGTTGTAGGTCCTTCCTCAGATCTCACCATGTGGCCTCCCTTAGCTGTAAGAGAGGGAGACCGGCAGAAGCCAGAGGCGCATGCGTGCTTGCACATCCTCTCTCTCTCTCTCTCTCTCTCTCTCTCTCTCTCTCTCTGGTGGTAGCAGAGTTTGAACTAAAAGCATCACCCCTGCTAGGCTAGCCCTCTACCGCATGAACTGCCTCCCTGGCCCTTTTTTGCTTCAGTTATTATTAGTTTTTTTCCAGATAGGATCTCATGCTTTGAGCCCAGTCCATCCTTAGACTGTGCTCCTCCAGCTCTCTGCTTCCCAAGTAGCTGGGATTACAGGCGGGTGCCACCATGCCCATTGAATCGATGCCTTTCTCCTTCCTCCCTTGGCCCGTCACGGAGGGTGTAGAAGGAGAGCAGACAGCGTGGTTTGGCTCAGCCTCCGTGTTCAGGGCCGTTGTTGACTTCCTGGGCCTCTGTGTCTCTCCTGACCTCAGGTCCTGTCTCTGGCTGCCCGAGGGACGCTTCTTCCCGGAGACCCCCGGCCCTGTGCCCTCAGCTGCGTGGGGTGGAGGCCCAGGTCTTCCTCTCCTCCATGTGACTGCTGTCTCTGTGGCACTGGCCACACGCCGGGCTCACGCCTTGCCTGTGGGAATCCGTGGCACCAGAGCCGGGGTGCCGGTGGCCCCCCAAGGTAGGGGAGCCGAGAGGGACCAGCGGCCGCCCCGGCTCCTGCTGCCCTGCCAACCGGGCCCTGATCAGCGATGAAATATGAAACCCAATTTATGCACTTTTTCTGTCTGTGTGTTACAGTTCATTAAAAAGGGAAGGCGCGCTCGTTCCCACACTGAATTCTAAATTCTCGTTCTGAAAGGAAAAAACCTGGTGACGGCAAAGCCTCGGCTTCAAGCCCTCCCAGGGCTTCCAGGCCTGCAGGAGGCCGCGGCGTGCATTCCTAGCTGGCCGCCATCTCGCTCTTGTCCGACTCTCCTACTTACTCCTGTAGTCTCCGATGTGAGCCCCAGGCCCCGGCCTTCCTCCTGACCGACACGTGCGGCCCCTTGGAGTCTTGGCCATCCTCAAATACAGGGAGGAGATGAACGATCTCAGTGCTGGATGTTTGCTGAGTGACTGAAGGATGGGAGGGAGGGGCAAGTTCAGAGGCATTGGGCGTTTTACTCCAGGTCACACAGCAAAGTGAGGGCAAAGCTGGTTCACGCTCCCGCAGCTGCAGTTCACGCACCCCTTCCGCACCCCCCCTGTCTCCCAGTCACCCCAGGCCTCAGTGACACCAGGGACCATCCAAGCACCTCAGCCCTGGGGTACCGATTCTGTGTCCCCGCCCCCCCGAATCCCCGCCCCCCCCACCTTTTCTCAGACGTTCTGAGCTCTTCTAATTATATGCTCTTATTAAGCTCCTAAGCCCAGCGGAAGATGGCTCCCAGAGATCACGACGTCTAATAATTGCTTTAGTGGCTCTAATTCCAATTATTCAAGATTATCTTTCCAGGTAATTAGCCATCCTCACTCTCTCGACAAACGTCATCTAACCCCCGCCTGGTGACTGGCTTTGGCGCGCAAGAGCTAGGGTGCAGCTCCTGCGTGGCGAGCAGGCGCGGCCGAGCGTACACAGGGGAGATTTGTACATCCTCAGTGGCTCCGTGGGGCTGCCACGTTTCTCGGTGAGAAACAGCAGTGCCACGGGTGGGGATGTGACTTGGGGGGGGGGGGTTGGGCAGGGTCCACTCTGAGAAACGGTGTGAGGGGATCAGGAATACAGAGGCAGGGTTCAAAGCAGACAATAAGCTGGGCCCTGGAGGCTCACGCCTGTCATCCTAGCTACTCAGGAGGCTGAGATCTGAGGATCACGGTTCAAAGCCAGCCTGGGCAGGAATGTCTGCGAGACTCCTATCTTCAATGAACCCCCAGAGAACTGGAATTGAGCCACAGCTCCAGTTCTGGCTTTTTTTTTTGCTGCTTAATTGGAGTCTCATGGGCTCTCCTGCCCAGGCTAGCTTCGAACTTCAATCTTCAGATCTCAGCTTTCTGAGTAGCTAGGATGACAAGTGTGACCCCTGGTCCCTGGTGACCCTGCCCATTTGTACCTCTTTGAATAGGGTATGAATTCCCATCTCTCCCGGGACAACGCTTGCCACGGTGAGATTTATCAATGGAGCCAATCTGGCGGGTGGGGGAAAGCATCTCGTGGTGGTTTTCAATGATCTTCTCCCGGTTAGCAATGAGCGAGCGCTTCCTTCCGCGTTCCTGCGATTCGGAGGCCGGCTTGCACAGAACGCTTGTTTGTATCTTTTGGCTGTTTCCATTAGATTATCTGTCGTTTAGTTTCTCTTATTGATTTATAGGAGGTTTGTAATTTCCTCTCATCCTTGGTCAGCCTCTGTGGCTTGCTGAATTCTCCCACGCTGTGTCTGTCTCCGACATCCGTCAACAGGAGTTCTTCACTATTAATTGTAGCAAGCTAACGCTCCTGTACAAGTTAGCATCTTGGCGGGCTGTGAGCACAGAGCCCAGCGTCCTTCCACGCTGCCTCCTGCTCACACATCGTGCGTCCCACACTGCAAATCAGTGGCCCTGCTTCCCACCTCCTGAGGCCCTCACCCCCCTGCACCCCCCTCCAACCCCACACAGTGTCTGTGAACTTGATGGTAGAAGGGTCCTCACCACAGCAGAGCCATCCGTATGTGGCCCTTTGTGTCTTGTCGATGGCACGCACCGTAATGTCTTCAAAGCTACAGCACATGTCAGAATAGAATTCCCCTCTGAAGGCCAACGAATGTTCCATGGTGCATGCACACCATGGTTTGTTTGTCTGTTCATCCATCCATCATCCGCCCATCTGTCAGTCTACCCATCATCCACCCATCTGTCCATCCAGTCATCCATTTATCAATCTATCCATTTATCCATCAGCCATCCATCTGTCCACCCATCCATCAGATCCATCCTTCTGTCCATCCTCCCTCCAACTGTCCACCCATCCACTATCCATCCATCCATCTGTACATCAACCTATCTACCCATCCACCATCCATCCATTTATCCATCATCTCTCCATCCTGATGTCATCCATCCATCCATCCTCCATCTACTCATTCATCCATCATCCACCATCCATCCATTCATCCACCTACCCATTCACCATGCACCCATGATCTATTCTGATGCGCTGACCATGGTGCTGAACCAAGCCCTAGATTAGGGCAGGCGGGTGGGGGGGAACCTAGGGGAAGGCATGAAGACTGAAGCTAGGTAAGAGGGACAGAGGCATCTTGTGTGTTAATATCAGCTCATCCTGCAGTGCAGCAGGAAGGTCGGATGTGGGCTTTGAACCCGCATCTGCATGCGGCTCTGAGTACAGGCCTACGTGTGTACCATGTAGATGGAGGGGTTGTAGAATTTCAGCCTGACCAGGGACGTGGGCTTTTACTCTCCATCTGCTAGCGTATAAACATTTCTAGCTCTTCTCAGCCTGGGTCTGGACAGAAACCACCTGCTCCCTTCTGACCCCCTCCCTCCCCTGTCATTCCTCCTGATTAAACATCGCCTTGTCTCTGCGTGTTGCTTGTAGCCGGAGCTGCCTCTGTCCATACCGGGCTGTCTCTGTCTGGACAGGCCTGCTGTGCTTGGCTCTTTTCTCTCTCACCAGCGGGAGCACTGGCAATCTTCTGGGATTTAATTACAGCTCCCCCCGGGGGCCTTTCAGTGGATCACGCGGCCCCCCGCGGGCGGCCGGCTGGGAGGGTGACAGCCGTGTGCCGGGATGAACGGCAGCATCCCCGCGCGGCGCGGCATGAGTGGCCGAGGCCCATGCTCCCGTGGGCTGCTCTGCTTTTTTTTTTTTTTTTCTGCTTCTCAGCAAAGAAACAAAAAATATGTCACTTCCCTTTCGCAATATCAGAGAAGATCCTAGAAGAAAGAGGAGCCAGGCAGGAGGGCAGTGGGGACGGACGCCAGCCGGGCACAGCGGCTCCCGGGAGGGGACAGCGGAGCTCTTTTCTTCCTTGAAAATAATGACTTGGTAATTCCACTCACTTTAATTAAGTCAGCCGGGCATGGTGACAGCTCAGGTGCAGGCGGGATCGCCATTTCAGGCAGCTGTGCTAACGTCCAAGGGAAGACACACACACACACACACACACACACACACACACACACACACACAAGCCAAAAAAACAAAACAACTACACAGTGAGGGTCAGCACCTAGAAAACAAATCTGGATGTCTCTTCTGCTGCCGCAGCAGACTTTGCTAACTTGCCATACAGGGCTACATGAGAATGGTTTAGAACTGGCAGCGAGTTATGGCTATTCCCTGTCCCCGAGAGGAAGACCGGAGAGGCTT